TTTATCCTGGATCCTCAGCAGAGTTGTGTGAGCTCAGATGAACTCTCATCTCAGCTTGTTGCTCAGAGTTCACTGCTGTGACGTCTCTGTTGCTTTTATTTTTCTGCTCCTTCCTGTGTTTGTGGGGAGGAAATCACTGCTAACCAGGAGTTTCATTCACAGAAAGTCTGAACTTCTCTTAGCTCTGATTTATTTGTATTTTGTTTTTTTTCTTTCCCTTCACAGAGAAACCAGCAGAGCTTCTTTTATCGCAGGATATTTTACATCTCATCACTTTGGAAATGTGGAAATTATTTACAGTTTTTGTTGTTTTAAATGAAAGAAGTTGTTGTTTCCAGGGTCAGAATCTATTTAATCCCTCTTCATGTTTAATTTGAAAACAAATTGTTTCATTTTGTGATTTTTGGAATTTAGAACAAATAAAACCTTAAAGGAAGCAAGAACTTATTTGTCTTTCTGTTTGTTTCTAGTTTAATTGAATCTAAAGAAAATAAAATGGGCAATATTCAGTAAAACACTGAAATGTTAAGTTAACTTAGATTATAAAAAATGCAGGTAAGATGAACGAAACTCTTCCAATATTCACAAGAAAAAGAAAAAGGTTTCCAATCTGCATGGTTTCACACCAGTGTGGCTTCTCATTGGGCTGGTGCGTGCATACCTATAACTAAATCATTTCCCACATGTTTTACACTTGAAAGGTTTCTCCCTTGTTCAGCTTTTCGTACGGATGGCGATTCCAGACCTGAAAATCAAACCTTTCCTACATGTTTCACAAAAAAGGGTCTCTAACAAATGTAGAACACATCAGAATTCATTTGTGCCAAAAAAAAAGAAAAATTCTGGTAAAACTTTTCCCACATATTTTACAGGAGGTCGCCTTCTTCTCGTCTGTTTAAGTCCAATACGGTAAAACAGGAAATATATAACATTCCTGTCCTCCAGCAGCTCCTGGACTAAAAACGGACCAAAGTTTAGGCATTGATCAGAAGCCAGTAGTTTACAGACTCTTTCATTTCACTGTATTCAGCAGAATGAATGTGGACTTAAGTTTTTGTGGGTATTTCTACATCTAAAATGTGCAGCATCTCCACACACGTGAGAAAACATTCAGGTTAAGCAGACTAAAGTAGCAGCCTCAGAAACCAGCCGGACCAACAGGATCAAACAGCACAAATGGTTTATTTCTTTTTAGTCCTCGTACAGCCATTGACCACAAATCCCTTGAGGTACGTTATCTTTTGGGAGAACTGAGTTTTGTTGTCCGATGCTGCACGCTGACCACACAAAACACTAAATAATGTCATTAATCGGGGACGTGAGACCAGGATGATGTCGTTTTAAAGGGAAAAAGCAGCCAAATGTTGTCTCTGGACTTTGGTCAGTTGGGAAATACGTCACTCAGCAGAAAAATAAGCAGAAAAAACCCTCCTCTCAGTGATTTTATGTAAAAAAGAGCTCAGTTTGCTGTCCATCTTTTAGGGAAATGAGAGCATGAACTGAGTTTCTTTAAAGTAAAAACAGATGATCGAACATCGTCAGTCACGAAGCAGAAAAACGCATTTTTAGAGAAAATAAAAACAGAAAAAAACATGTCAAGTTACAAAGGCTAATAATAAAACTGTTGCACTATACAGGCAAACCTTCATATATTACAACTTCTATGATACAAATGTCGTAAAGCATCCCGGTTAACACGTTAGTTTGTCTCCCAGAGGCTCGGCAGCTTTTTAGTTTTCGCGTTACAGACGTCTGTTTCTTCTCCGACAGCACAGAGAAAACACTAAAACACACACACAGAATCTCCAGAAGCTCCTCAGAGGCCGGATCATCCTCCAGTAGCACGAAAAGGGACTGAACCCAACAGCTCACCAACAGCTCACACGACCACCTAACGGCCCCGTTTTCTGGCCGGAATCACTTCTATTCGTGTGATAAATTAAAGAAAAGTAACGGCATGAATAACGTGTGTCGGCCGGACCGTAAATCTGTGGAAACTGTGTGAAAAATGGCCTCAGAATGAGCATCCGGTCCACTTAGTGACATGAAAAACCTCCAATCACCAATCCGGCTTGAGCTTTGTTTGGGGTTCAAAGTGAGGTACAAATCCGGATACAAACTCCCCACTTAAGCCTTTTTGTTTTTTTAGAAGTAAAGTGAGAAACGGCTGGCAGGAGAGGCCCACCTGTTTTTGGACTGATTTTGTTTTGTCTTCCTGCGTCAGGACGACAGATGTGAATTAGCAACTATGCTAGAATTTGGCTCATTTACAATCTGTATGAGATTGTTCATTAATGTGTCCTGATTAAATAAATAAAGAAATTAAATTAAATTAAACCTCTGACCGGCTTTATGGGGCGTCTGGGACCAGAACCGGCCGCCTGGGAACAGATGAAACTGGCCGGAAACAGGAGCTAAACTCGGCCTTTGGGTCGAGTCCCCTGGTGGAGCCGCTCTGATGGGGGGGT